CTCAGCCATGGTCGTGTAAAATGATGCTAGAGGCACAAGACGAGGATGCCCTTCAAACTCCAGATAAGCATTATCACACCTGTAGGTGCGATCTTCTGTGCGCTGCTTGGACTGGGTTGTCCAGGAACATTTTCATAGATCCTTCTCTGGTTTCGGAGTGTATCCTTAAAGACATTCGAACAACTGTACAGTCAAGCCTTGTACAGTTTATAGATAGAAAAGATATTAAGGACCACTGGAGGATAGGCTCTGCAGAAATCTGCCCCTATCTAATACTGCTTATAGAGTTGGTAGTCGATCACCGTGTTGGTAGGCCAACTTACAATTCCTTAGAGAGAATTTTGCACGCGGACGGCTTTCGCTTAGCTATTGACGGATGGATAAATGCGCGGTGCTCCTCGAACTGTGGGCTTCATTTCACCTTGAAATAATGATTTCCTCTTTACTATGTTCATCCCATTAATATGCTCAGAGAACAATTCATATCTTTATTCAAGATCAAATTGTGAAAGAATACTTTTCAAGATCCGACACCAGTGCTGCCCGCTTCGTATTTTATTGACAATTTGGGAAAACCTATAGAGGTCATAACTTTACTCAAGGATCCTCGATTACGACGAGTTCTTTTCGAAAATCAGTAACTCTGTAAAGGTAAGTGGAAATTTTAAAGTGCTCCAGGTTAGAGAGAATGGGAAGTTTTATCAGGTTGAAAAATGGAGTTGATGCTTTTCTGGCAATGATTATAGTTTTAGCTGCTTCGGTCAAAACTCGCGCACGGCCAAGGAGAGTGCAAACATCCGTTGTTCCGTCACACGAGGTGAGCATGTTTATTCGCTTTCCTGCTTCTCGTCTGTGTCTTTACAAATTTTATATATTTCTTTATTTTACGGTTCCCTCTTAACATCTTCTCTTCTTTCTCATTTCATCCTGCACGACAAATCATAGTGGTCTTGGATGCGGGGAGGGGGGGGGGGTGAGGTGATCCGAGTTTTCGGATTAGATTACCTTTGATCTCGTTTCTGTTGCGGCATTTCAAGATTAAGACAAAAATACTAATATCTGAGAATAATAAGACGGTAATGCTTCTCGCGCTCTTTATAGTGGATGAGCACTACTGCATGCACTGTGCCATCGATTAAACGCTCTTTGTTGTGATTCAAATGTTTGAGGTGCCTGCATCATCCTCATCTCCTCCACCATCAGCAGCTGCTTTGGAAGAAAAAGTTAAAAGGTCAGAGTTTTCCGTTTTTTTGAGGCTCCTCGTTTTAGTTTATCGTTAGTTGTAATGACCAAGCCTTCAGAGCCAAAATTTTGTTGGAACAGAAGAAAAAGGCTGATGAGGAAGCGAAAATAGAGGAGGAAAAACGCCGTGAACTGGAAAGAATCAATGCTGGAAAGCTTATGCAAGAAGCACAGCAGAAACGTCATGAACAGGTCTGCTGCTACATTCCTCTAGATGAGCTTTTCATTTGTATTGGCAAGTATTTTGTCTTTTGAGGAGCTCATTGAAGCAGCAGCACAGCGTCGTCGCGACAAAATCGAAGCTGAGAAGGAGCGGGAGCGGCTTAAGGCTCAGATCAAGGCAGATCGGTTAGATTTTCCTTTTGCTTAGCTTCGCTCTTGAATTCAGCAACGTTGAAGTTGATTCAGAGAGGAACGTGAGTTTCGAGAACGTCGAGGAAGACCTGTGGATGCGTCAGCTGGCGATATGCCGAAGCAGCCAGAACCGCCAAAAATGGAACCTGTGCCCAGTGACAGGTATGAATGAATTGATTTTGCGTTACGCCTTCGCAGGTTGAGGATTTATTCGGTATAATACGTACAAAACCATCCGTAATGATCAGAACTGTTGCATTTTGTAACCGATTGTTGTTTATTCAGGTGTCGCGTCCAGGTTCGTCTCCCCGATGGCGACAACATTGTAGAAGAGTTTGCATCTAGCGACTGCCTAAGTGTATTGGTGGATCTTATAAGACAGGTGTGTAGCCATGTTTACAGGTTCTTGCGAAGGAATTGGGAAGGATAAAATGGTGAACCTTTTACCGAGAGAAGGAGGGAGGCGTATCAGTCAAATAGACAACTCTGCCAACCATCAGACAATAAAATTTTGACGCATCCGGCGGTTTAAAGTAGTTGGAAGCTCGTTCCATATAGGTCACTGCGAAGCCCGGGAGAGAGGGCTCCGCTGTGACCTATATTGGAGGCACGCTCCGTGATAAACTAAGGCTATAACTTCTCAAATGTGTCAGATAATCCGGAAGATGAACAACTGAGCCCGTGAGTACTCTTGATTCCCTTGCCAACCCCAATGACTGCTAGCTACGAACTAGTAGCCACTCTGCTAGCTCTCTCCGCTCGAGTGGTTGAAAGTGATGGGATGAAAATAAAATATAGTTAAAATAGTTGATATAATAATTGATAAGGATGTGTGGAATTTCTAGCAATCAGGCCTTCTCCTCACGCACGCACGTACAAATTAGAACTTGGCACGGAATCCTATATGGGGCATTTTGAACTTTTTTTTTGCTTTTTTCTCCACTGATTAGTTACGTGGCACTTTGTCGTTCGTATTTGAGCTCCACTACCCACCATCTATGGTCGCAGACTGCCTTTAGACGAAAACTTAACCTTAACCCAAAAAAAACCAAAAATAACCGAACCTTACCAAGAACGGCCCTAAAGTTTTATGCGAACTGCTAAGAACGCCGCGGTACGCGTTAATCGGTCGACGAATGCCAATTCTCTTTGACTACAGCTTGAATGTTGGATATGGTGAATTGAAAACGTCTGCCGTTAATCATTTTCCTGTGGCCCACAGCTGCAAGTTCACCTAATTTTGGTTCTTACTTTATCCACTGCGAATCGTCCTTTATGTGTGTCTCCGCATCAGTTCATCTTTTTTTCGTAACCTGATGGCCGCGTGCTGCACAGGGTGCAACACTGGGTGCAATGGATTAAGCGAAGATTGCCTTAGTGTAAGGTTGAGCCTGAGCTTTTTCAAAAGAAATTCTTCATTTTATAGGATGGACGTGTCAGCGGTGCATTCTCCATTGCACAGGTATATCCACGAAAAGTATTCACTGGTGATGAAATGCAGAAGTCATTCCTTGATTTGTGTTTAACGCCCAACTGCACTCTTCTCGTAATCCAGGTAAATTCGAATACATTTTGGAATCCTACTCCTGCTATGCCCCTAAACCTTGCGTTTATAATGTCTCTATGAGAAGCAATGTTTTACTTCCTGTTACAAGCGAAATCCTGATTTCGAAGTAGTCATTACCATCATTAGTTCTTTTCAGTCACGGCCAAAATCGTCTCAGATTATTTCTGCTAATCCGTTGCGCGGAATTCTTTCACTATTATCAATGCTAGTTCTTGCACCGTTACAATACTTCTACAATACTGTTTCTGGTTGGCTAGGATGGAATTCAGGTATGGAATCTTTCAAAAATTTTCAGGTAATTTATGTTAGTGTCCATCTTCTTACTTTTGGTCATGTTAGGATTGTTTTTACGTAGAGCAGGAGGGTTGCCGCGGAAGTTTGCGATCAGGCTGTAGCATTTCTCGCACTGCTCCTCGCATCTTGTCCCGCACGAAGGGGAAATAGGTCCGCACGCGAGCACCTGGTGTTCAGTATCATGGACCACGATATTCATCGTGTTGGGATCAGTGTTACTTGGCTTGTGAGCTGCATTTTGCACGATTAATATTTCGTTTTGCTAGTACATGTTAATTAACCGGTCACATTGTGGTGAGACCCGTGAAGCTGCAATTTGTGAGCTACTTTGGTAACGAGACCTCACATCTTTACAAGGTAGCCTGCAGGCTTCGGTGTGTACCATTTGTTGCCCCGCCGAGCCAAACTGCGTTGTGCAGGACATGGCAGACGTTTTGCATTACGGTTTCCCCTATATTCCTTAAAAGCGCTCGGTACGGTGCAAGTGCAAGGGGGTATTGTGATTCCTTTTGGAATTAATTCAGTTATAGACGGACGATTAACGATTTCAGAAATAAATGTTTTTTTAATTCCGTGAATAGTTTAAAATCAGTTTTCCAGTGTGGCTATTTCCGCAACAGTTTATTTCTCTCATCTTCATTTTCACTTTATTTCACGTTCATTTACTTTACAGCAAAACATTTAGCAAAATGAGCATTTAGGCTCTGATCTTGGGATCCGGATATAGACAAACAGCTGACACGGCATTAAGGTGTAAAGCGCCAATCGTGAGCCGCCCATGCCAACTGACCACCAATTCCGTCGCGTAAGTTAATGTACATTATTTCTGGTGCGGTGCGCTCCGCCGTTTTGAGCTCATGTAGTTGTAGTGGCCTCGCCCTATTTGTTAACGTGATTATCTGTTCTGTTTATCGCCGCAGTTTCATGGTGCAATAAATGAACACGTGATGCCAAATGCTGAATTGACATGCGAAACTCGCTGAAGGCCAGCTCGAAAAACTTAAACATTGCGTTCATACTTCGCGATTTGTTAGAGCGAACGAATTGTTGCTCTGATCGTGCTGGACGTGGGGGAGGGGGTGTCTGGTTGCTCTGATCGGTGACGCAGACTCGTCACCATTTTTCGTAACATGAACGCGCCGCGACTGGCGTCTCTTAGGAAAAATTTCATTTTTTCCCCACAGTTTTTTTCTTGTTCCAATTTGTTCTTAGCTTCTTCGATCCCGTCTACTGATTAGTGGCGGAGCGCAGCAGCCGGCTTGGCGCGCGATCAGTAGTGACCAAACTCCCCACCGCGCGCCGTCTGTTTCGCCATGTATGAACACATCCTCCGGCGCTTTATCGGCTGTTGTCTTAGCAGGCATGGAAGCAGCTCAGATAATTGCAATGTCATGTACGATCATCAGCTGGTATGGGAGGGGTTTCAACCAAGTTGTGGCGTTGGGTTAAGTCTTTTGCTAATAGCGCATGCTACTGATAACTGTTCCTGAGCTTTCTGTACATATCTTCTATGGTCTGTAATACTATCAATTCAGCGAGGTAACACGAGCAGACTTCATAATACTAATGATGACAGTGATGAGGATAATGCGAACTGGAACGGTAACTCGACTCAGTTTCTTTAAGAAATATGTACCAGAAGTAGAAGAAATCGGAAAGATTGTTCTATCATGATAATAAACGGTGGTTTATCGAATTGTGTCCCCCCCCCTTTCTTGTTTCACGCAATATTCCTAGTCCTTGACTACGATAAAAAAATCCAGAGGTTTGTGTCCAGATGTTTACCTGTGATGATAGCTACCATGTTTGTGTGATAAATGCTTTGGGTTATTTACGTGTGTACCTTTAATTCCAATAGAATAGTATTCTTGAGCATGGCTGTGTGAGTTTAGTCAAAAGGTCTTGTTTGGTGTTATGAAAGTGGAACGGTTTGTACCGTTACCATGATGCAATGTGTCCGATTGTAAGCGCACTCGTACTTAGTGTCACGATTGTAGTTGAGAAGTAAATGTAATGTTCTTGAAATGAGTTTTTTTTTGATGATGTACCAGAATGTACTAGATACTTTCATCTGCTATTAATCCATATTTATTTCGCATGTTATTCTGGATAAATATTATATATCCCATCATCTAATTGGGGTTGTAATCTATTTTTAACGAAAGTGTTGTCCCACGACCATAGAATCACATAGCAGTCGAGTTTCTAGGAAGCGTGTGTACTCACTCGTGCGCTCAGTTTGTCGTGTCTTTCGTGTGCATCAGTCAAGGGCAAATGGCACGAAAAGTGTACAAGGCGTACAGGGTCGACACACCTAGTTCGAAAGAATATTACGCCATTTAACAGGCGCTGAATGGCGCCTTTTCCAACATCGTTATAGTGCCTAACCAAGGTACAATCTGCCGACTCAGACGCCCAGCGCAACCGCCCGCCCACAAGTGACCAGACAGTCACATGCTGGTACTCCCACCACTTCATTTATGAAGTATCACTGATATGAAGCGTTGCTACATGGGTATGTGAACACATACGTGCAGCCATTCTACCAAAACGGTTGTTGGCACGATGCCAACGGGAAACTCGTCCAATGCCGTGCAGAACAAAGGTTTTTTGGGGGTTCGGCTGTTTAACTTCGCTTATTCTTCTTTTCTCCACTATGTTGTCCGCTGCTACTCATTTTTGTGTATTAAATTAATTAATTATTAAATCAACGTGTTTGGGCGTTCGAATAGCTAACAGAAACGGATTTCGGTCGTGTGTTCCAAATAATGCATCAGTGTGCAACGCAAAACGTATGTCCTTCCGCATATGCGTTAATAAAGTATCTTCATTGCCACCCACTGTGCAATGACGCGCTCGCTCGCTGTCACCCCATTTGCGCCACGCCTGCCGGGTCTTTCCGTCTCAATCTCACGATCTCATCCCCTGAAGAACAGAACTTCTTTTCGATATCTCCTTTTGGTTTTTTCTACCGCTTAGGGACCACTTCCGCACCACCGCTTTCACTTTTGAGGGCCCCTGAGTCCATCGTCGGCAGGGATAGAGGGGCATGACGCCTTCTAATGAGACCTTGGCGACGGCCTGTGGTTTTAAAGAAGATCTCTCTGTCGTGGGGGCAACTATAGTTAGTTGTTCTGCGCTAGGACAATATGTAACTTGTATGCGATCCCCTGACGATTTTGATGAGCTTTCTAGGAAACGATCGACGATCCGATGATTAGTTCCGTTGCGATGCCCTTTTGACGAAAGCAGGACGAATGAAGTCCATGGGCCCAGCCTTTTGTGCTCTTCATCTGACCAGATGAAAATTATTTTTTAATGAAATTCTGCGAAAAACGCAGCATACAGTTGAGCGCTCACCGGACGGTGGGGCGTTCCCTACGACCACGCTGGCGAGCGTTCCGGTGTTTGCGTGTCGATGGGAAGCCGAAAATTTTCGGGAGATTATCATCGTTGCCTCTCCGTCTCTTACTCTGCACTCTGCGCTCTACCACACGCCGCCGCACCGTCTACGCACTCTTCCGCTCTGGACTCTTACCGATCGATAATTGCTGACGCTCTTGATCAGCTGATTCCTGCCGCATTTTCGCAGTATTTTTGCTAGATTCAGCTTGTTAAAGCTGGAAATTTTTCGACTCTTCACTTCAATGTTCGAAGGTGAAGTATGATTAACTGAAACTGTTCCACATTTTGCATGAATTTAGCATGAAATTCCCCTAGGAAACCTGTTTTTCTTTCGATTTTCGCAATTTCTCCAAACTTTTCCTTAATATCCCCATTTCTTTTATGTTACTGTCCGAGTTTTCAACGCAGTGTCTCAGATGTGATCTCGTTATTATTGAGAACCATCTCTGACTCTGTTCTGAAGCTCGAAGTCGCCTTGATGGCCCGCTTTTCCCATGATTTCCTTGAAACTGTGTGTCCGGGTATTCTTTTCTTTTCATTTTGGACTCTATCCTCAACTCTTGCTTCGCTATCTTCATTGTTGAAAATTGAGATCGAAACCAGATAAGTTTCAGCTTTTACAAGCTGATTCTAGCAAAAATACTGCGAAAATGCGGCAGGAAACAGCTGTTCGAGAGCAATTATCGATCGGTAAGAGTCTTCCAGGAGAGCGGAAGAGTGGGTAGACGGTGCGGCGGCGTGTGTTAGAGCACAGAGTGCAGAGTAAGAGACGCAGAAACAAGTTTTTTGCGGCCTTCCACCAGCAGGCAATTATCGGGCCGCTCGCCAGCAGCGTGCCTGTAGGACGCGGCCGCCACGTCCGCTGAAATGTGCACTGTATGGTATAGCCATGTACCCCCCTTTAATGTAACACGTTGACGACATCCGCGTGTTTGGCGGGAAAGCGCCGCGGGGAGGCATATGGCGTGGCTTCGCATTCGCGGCCGCTTGAGGCCACCGGTGTTCATATGTCTCTCGTGGACGCACTTTTTGCCGCCTATGTCAACTTTTCGCAAAAATGATCAGTCAGTCCTGCAGGCGCTGGCTATTTCAATTACCATCCTTAGGACTCTATTGGAGGCGCCTCATGCCCGCCCCCCCCTCGGCTCTGTGATCACGCCCACTTTTTAGCGCGATCGTGATTTCCAAAATGTGTGCCATAACTTCTGTTTCTAAGAATTTTCTTGGAATTTTCTGCTTTTCACACATTACAATGATTCATAGACGGCCACACCGACACATTTCTACCGAATTCGGTGTCCAAAAAGATCGAATGTGCGCCAAAAGCTGCGCCGCTGGCGCCCATATGCGCAACGACAATACAGATCTCACGTTTCATGAAAGAAAGCCGCCGCGCATTTCTCAGGCGCCCAGGTTGCGTTCAGAAAGAACTATTTCGAGGTTCCTGCCGCAGCAGGTAAGCTAGTGGAAATTTCAAATTTTCAATTCATAATTACTCCAATGGCAAGCAGACATTTTTCTTGCTCATCCTGTTGGACCCTCCCTTCTCAAATTACCGAAAGCAGGAAAAGATTCGATGAGACTGTTCCAGCATAACCTGAAAAGTGATTGAGAAAGTTATGGAGCATCGGTGCCCTCAGAATGTCGTCATCCGTGTTTAAAAGGAAACCTGTTTAGAGTAAATACACTGGTATTGAAATGAACGTTCATAATTTTTGCTAAACATTAGATCTTCCTTGGAATGTGAAAATCCTGCTTAACAACCTTATTTTGTTTCCGTCTGAAACAGGCCAATTCCCGTTTTATGGACGCGATATAAGAACTACAAACTGGATCTATGGCACAATACTACGCGCTATCTGAACAAAAGTCGTAACTTCTCACTTGATTCAAGTCTATGACTACATTCTATATCATGGATGGGGAAGGCGTGACCAAATATACTCCTTATCCCTTAGACGGGGTAGGCATGCAATTCGAACTGCTGCGCAGAACTGGTATTCCGTGGAGACATTTCAATTTGGGACAACCGCATCTGTTTCCTTGTTGGACAAGACGTGACCACATTTGGTCAAAAAGAAAATTGTCTGTCTAAAAAAAAAAAAAAAAAGCATAGCCACCATGACGTTTAGTTGAAGTACGTCCGACGCCTACGTCTCTCAGGGATTTCGTACTTCATTGAACTATGGCGGTGGTTGGCGCTCTTGGTGGATATGGCTGTTTTGGAAAAAATTAAGTATATCGGGGGGGGCACGTGGTAAGCTCGGTACCCCAGCGCGGAGGCGTATTTCGTCGCCTGGGATTTCTGCCGATGGTTGACTTTGCAGAATCCCAGGACGAAACTACACAATTAATTATTGGGAATTCTAACAATACATATGTCTATATAGACAACACGAATACAGATAATATAATTAATAAACATAGAATATTCAATACGCACAACAACATCAAAAACATGACCGCATATGAATGTACCTATAATTTACGCAATACCTAAATTACATAAATCCCCAGTGAAATTTCGATTTATAACGGGAGCTAGAACAAGTAGCCTCAAACCTTTATCCATGGAACTCACAAAAATACTCTCCTTTATAAAATGTCATTTCTTCAACTATAACAATACCATTAAATGCAGAAATACTCAATACATAGGATATTGGGCGATCAATAACATAACATTAGTGAACAACTCCAGAATTTACGTATGGACAATATGAAACTCTTTTCAGCAGACTTCACCAACATGTTTACTAATCTTCCACATTCTCATATAATGCACAACATCAAAGAAATACTTAAAATTTGCTACAAAAACAGTAACAAATATTACATTGCTACCAATGACAGAAAAACTTTCTACACAAACAACACGTCTTACAAAAACTATAACTACTACGCTATCACAGATATAATATACCTACTAGACTATCTATTGAAAAATAGTTATTGTAGATTCTCAGAATATATTTTTATACAAAAGACAGGAGTACCTCAAGGTAGTAATGTCAGTCCTCTCCTAGCTGACCTTACACTATCTTACTTTGAATACATGTACTCCATTAACCATTACAACAACAAGCAGATACAGATGAAACCTTTTAGATACATGGATGACGTTCTTATAATACACAATAGGGACACACAAAACATTCTAGATGAACTCAATGATGTATATAAAAATATCTTACAACTTGAGGTAACGCATGAAAACGAGTACAAATGCAACTATCTGGATTTAGAGATTGATATTGTAACAAACAAGATATACACAAAAATGTATAATAAAACAGATACTTTTAGTTTTTCGATTAAACGCTTTCCTAATTTCACAACAAATGTCTCTAATCGCATTAAAATTAACACAATTACTCAGAAATTCTGAGAATAGCTCGGACATGTTCAA